ACTCATTAACACGTGTCGTGTCAGTCCACTTCCAGAATAAACACGTAAAATGTTTAACATGAATGAGCAAATGTTAATTGGGGAGGCCCAACACGTTAGTTACAACACTGCAACTTCCTGCCCAGGACATCACACCTCATATGCGAAGGTCAGTGAGAAACCTTATCAGATTAATATTTGTCGAGTTTTACTGATACACAAGACCTCTTTTTTAATTCAGTTGCTTCACCACTTTACTTTTGTATTGTTCCACCCGTGTATTATTTCCCACAAACAATTCCCCGCAAAGCCATGAAGTCTAAACCCCCTATCAGCATGAAATTGTTTACCATGTGCATCAAGTTTTGTAGTCACGACATCTCTGCACATTAAATCGTCTGTTTCATTTCGATACAGGTGTAGTTGCTTGTATTTGCGCGTTGTCTCTTCGTCAGCGTTATTTATGTCAAAGAAATACCCTCGTTGTTGCTTTATGAACATAAACGTCGCTACGATCCCTCGGAATGATTTTATCATTTCATTATGTTATTACCTATTTGCTAGTCTATGAAATGAAAACAAAATATACTTGTTCTCAATGCCTTGTCAATGTATCAGGGGTTGGACACCTTCCCAGAGAGACATTTTCCCACAATTCACTTCGAATAGAGTTTCAATTTCCAATACCCATCAATATATTTATGAATGAATATTTTTTTATTGTATGGATTGCATACACATCTCACAAAGATGAGATACATTTTGCTTTTGAATAGAATGCAAATGGTTTGCTAACTGTTTCTAAAAACTAGTGGAGGATATTGGAAATGACTTAACATGGAGAAAGCATCAAACTAGTGATAGATGTGACAGATCCCACAGGCTCATTAACTTGTGATCATGTTAACGTTAATCTTAACAGTTTCGAAGAGCTGAAAAATGGGAACTGAATTAAAAGTGAGAGAAGAAATTAGTAGTCAATGTTTTTCATAAGAACGTTTCCGTTTAATAAACAACAGTTGTTATTTTAGTACTTGTCTGGTGGAATCCCATTTTCCAAACCTTCTCTTACTCTGTAACAGTACATGATGTAAACATGGGAACAAAACAATAAACGTGCAACAAAGTATACCCATGGACTTATTAATCAGCTTATTGTTCTTATAAATGTGATGAAATTACTTTAAAACGTTGTATGTATATTATATACCATGTGGGCACTTCTTCTTTTGTTACTTGCACAACAATGCGAAAAGCCTCCACAGTCACTACATGGAAGCTACGCACAGAGTTTGTTTCATTCAATGTAGCGCTCAGCACCATCACAAGGCTATGGGATCGGTTTCAATAGCATGGGTCAACACTTGATCGGCCACGATCGGGACGACCAAGAGTAACCACCCCCGCCCAAGATCGCTACATCTGACCGCGCCACCTACGTGAAAGGACGACCACATCCGCATCCCTAATACCCGGAGTGCGCAGAATCTCCGACAAGACCGTACGAAACCGTTTAAGAGCAACAGGTCTACGAGCAAGACGTCCTGTTCGACGCGTCATATTGAGTCGACAACATAGCTAACAACGACTGCATTGGTATCGTCAACACAGGGTATGACCTTAACTGCGATGGAGAGATGTCTGGTTCAGCGACGAAACAAGATTTCTCCTCCGTCGAGGGGATGGAAGAACACGGGTCTACAGACGTCGGGGAGAACGTTACGCCGGAAACTGCGCACAGGACAGGTTTGATGGGGGTACCACTATGATGTGGGCAGAAATCTCTCATCATGGCAGGACAGGTTTGGTCCATATCCAGGGCAGTCTTATGGCTAAACGATACATCAACGAAAGTCTCCTACCACACGTCCTCCCAATTGCAGCCAAAGGCAACGGTGTATTCCAGCAGGATAACGCTCGACTGCATACAGCACGGATCACAAGAGACTGTCTACACAACAACAACGTTGATGTTCTCCCCTGGCCCTCCAGATCCCCGGTTTCGAATCCGATAGAGCACCTGTGGGATGAATTCTCAGGATGTGATTCGCATACTCGTCTCTTCCATGGGCAGGGCTCTATCGATTCCAACGGGGTACATACGCGTTAATGATGGTAGCTGACCTTCACCTTGGACTTTTCCTATGTACCGATAACTGAGATGACTACAATCACCAAGTGTTCTCTCCACAACATTTTGGCTCAATACCTTGTTCGGTTCCTTGTATAAATGTATTTTCCTACCTCACACAAATCTGGCTTTGCGTTTCTTTTTTTTTGGTAGAGTAAAATTCCAATCGCCTGGAATGACTCATATAGGCAAAAATTAAACGAAAACTTCCGCAATCCACAAAAAGAATCACTTAATTAATTGCGAACATTTACCAACCTGCGACAATCGTGTCAACTCTGGGCTTCCCGAAGCAATTAACGCATATCTAACTTAACTACATGTGTACTGTTCAACTGTCGGCTAGTCACAATGAGTAGACTTGGACCCTAGTGGAACGGTTCACTAATATAAGTCCAGCAACCGAGCAATACTTACTTTAGGTTTCGAAAAAAATGTATTTATATTTATCATTTCGTTTATTTTCACAAACAAATACTATTTTTTAACAAATTTTTCAAAACAGAAATGCACAACTTACATATATATTAGGTCACTATGAACGACTGATGTTTAAGTCTTAACTTGGGGGAGGAGTTATTGACCATTTCGTGGAAGGTGAGGCCTATACATACTTAGGGATGCAGGTTAGGGACAAACTCCAGAATGCCCATATCAAGGAAAACCTTCGGGCCTAGAACAAATGTACTCAAAAGAAAATCTGGTGTTCAGAGCTGAACGCTCGCAATGAAGTCAAAGCCACAAATACTTATGCTGTACCCGTCCTTTCGTATTCTTTTGGTGTTGTTGATTAGACGAAACAAGAAGTTCAGTGTACTGACACTCTCACACGAAGAATCATCAGACAATAGATCAACCCACCCTCTCCCTTCCCTCAATCGCTTATATTTACCAATTATAATGGGAGGGCGTGGTTTGATTAACGTGGAGGCTCTTCATGATAGACGGAAAATGATAAATACAAAATTCTTTGGAATAGGCCCGTGTACAGCCTCAGAGGAGAACGCGTGAACGTGACAAAAAATGCTATGTACACAAATCACGAGAATGCGACAGGGACGTTCTCGCGATCTCGCATTTTCGCACTTTTGGCATACATTCTTCAAAAAAAGAAACGCACAGGTAGATTTTTAGAAAATTTATTGTACCTAATAAAGTCGATATATTTAATTTAATATCATAGATACAAATCGCTCGATAGTCACATGTTGTCGTTGTACAAAGGCATTGAAAACTGTTCATTGACATGTCACATAAGGCAACAAGTTTGCGCTGAACTCAGTATCTCGTGTGACCGCCCCATGCAGCAATCACGGCTCTGCATCTCCTCGGCACTGACTGGATAAGTGTACGAATTCTGTCCTGCGGAATTCTGCGCCAGTCTGCTGTAACGCGTTGGCCTGTTGTGGGATTGTCTGCGGCGTGTTCTGACTTTGATGTACACGTCGATCGAGTTCATTCGACATGTGTTCGATTGGGTTGAGATCTGGAGATGTCGACGGCCAGGGCAAGACGTTAATGTTGGCATTATTTAGGTAGTCTCCCTTGACACGATCTGTGTTCGGTGGAGCGTTTTCCTGTTGAAACAGCTCCCTCTGGTGGTCAATGATTAGAAGGTGGTGAGGTTGAAGAATTTGATTCGTGTAGCGATTTGCTGTTAAATTTCCCTGAACCACAGCCAAGTCAGATCTCGTGGTGTAGGATATGACCCCCCACACCATGACACTACCGCCACCGAAATTGTCGAAATCACGTACACAACTCTCATTTCGACGACGATAAACACGTTGTCTTCCATCTCGCCGGTGAAGAGGAAATCGTGATTCATCGCTGAACCACACTCCAGTTTCTCAAATTCCAAGGCTGTAAGGTATGGCACTAACGCAAGCAACGCTGTCGATGGACCTGTTGCAAACCAGGGACGATAACTGGTCTTCTGGGTCGGATTTCAGCCTCGCGAAGATGGTTCCCGACAGTCTGGTCCGATATCCTCCTCAAACCAGGGATGCGTCATGCAGTCTCCGTAGCTGTGGCATTGCGATGACGTAGGTGGAACAGTCGAATGTAGCGATCCTGTGCAGGGGTGGTAACTCTTGGTCGGCCAGTTCTCGGACGGTCTGCAGTGGAATTGAACTGTGTGGTTCCTATAAATACAATATGGCTGCTGAGTGATATTTCTGATGTGCATAAGACAAAACTATTATTTTTGATTTATGATTATGCCAGATGTTTCTGTAAGAATACGTTTCCTTAGTCCCTTTGTGGGTAAATGTCCTTGAATACATATTTGACCATAAATCAGATGAATTCATCTCATCCAAAGCTTCCAGAGATGTGAAGTTTGTTCTTGTTGCTCGATTCCTCAGTTTCTCCGCCCTTGTTTGACCTTTCGCAGTTTGTAAACAGTAATATAACCAGTGTAAAAAGTACATCTAATCAGCTGCACTCAGAAATATTCCAGCGACTTGACGACTGTCTGTAAATAATCGAGTCTGGACCAGACAATCCAGTGATTGACACCATGAGCATCGATCCACGCAATCGGAATACAATGACATGCATCAACCAAGTTAGCGAGCCTGGCCACCGGATCCCGTTAGTCGCCCTTTACAAGCATGGGTTGCTGAAGACCTATTCTACCCCGGATCTTCACGGGTCAACTGCAGAGGTAGAAAGATTTGGGATGTCATGGTTACCAATGACATCACAATGGTCTGCAAAGCATTGTAACGCAATTTCATTGAAGTCATATATCCTTGGAGACTGGATCTCACACAGCGAAATCTACCGTGGAAGATAAAGAGTTTTGGATTATTAAAGAGAATTTACTGTAAAACTTTAAAAAAATTATGAACGGGTTTCTGTAAGTAATGTTGAATCTTTTTTTCAGTGACTTCGAATCCGACACTACAATACAGTTCATCGGGAAATAAGCCATCTCAAGAAGGGAAGGACTATTTGAGGTTCACAAAATGGTGGCAAGCATCGGCTCTGTTTAAATGGTAGGTAGAGATTATTATTGGGGACGTTTACCATTGCAATATACCAGAAATGGAGAAACTATTACAGTTTAGCATTAGATATGATTAACCTGGGTCACAGACACTTGCAACGTTATTACTCAGTCATTCGAGTCGATATCTTGCAGTACATAAACTCTTTACAGGTAGATATTTACAAGACGCACTATATACCCGGTCAGCACACAGTGTTAGTTGTTGATATTGGTGCCCCGGAGCGCACAACCTAGCCTAGCTAGGCTACGGGTGAGACATTGTTTTCTTCTCTGGACCAATCTTTGTACAGCCAAGGTCATCTGACATAAATTGAATTATAAATATATACAATAGTAATTAATGAGGAGTACGGGGCGGACCATTTGATTTCTAGGGTCGGGAATTTTTAAAAACAACAAAACAAACACAGCTCATACTTTAGTGTAAAAAAAACTCAGCCTCCATCTGCTTGAAAAAAATAACTCAGCCTCAATAAAAGGCTCGACCACAATTTGGCCATCCTCATCAATACCGAATATTTCGTTAGCAATGTCATAATCTTTGACAGAGAGGTATGACCATGAGAAACAGTATGAATGCCAGACCCCACGTCGCACTTTTTTTAAGTTTCTCGAAAAAAAAAAACAGTTGCAAATCCTGTGTATAAAAAAATATGAGTGAGAGAGAGAGAGATTATGTGTGTGTGTGCGTGCGTGCGTGTTTGTGTCTTGTGTGTGATTATTAATTATTGAGATTATTTTACATGCGCTTCAAGAAATCGGAGATCGGTTATTGTTTTACTTCTTCTTTTTTTCGTCTGATAGAAACATAACATTAGAGATCGTATTCAAATATCATGTTTGTCTTTTAATAAAACATTATTAACTGAGTACTCGTTTGATCTTGGATTCATCATTGTGTACTGTCAGAATGGTAAAATGCTAGTCAGCAATGCATGCCTGAAAGGCGCTGGAAAGTCTGTCATCGGCTTTTCTGGTTTATCGATCACGTGATTGTCTGATTAGTTTACAGGTGGGCGTCGCATGGCAGGAATACTACTGTGCGGCATCAGACGTTAGATACTTACTTGTTTATGCGAATTGTGAGAGTGGCGGATGAGACATGCTTACCCTTCTCGCGTACACCTGGTCATAGCTGAGTTTCATTTCCCATAATTTTCACAGCTATTTTGCCCTTTACGCTAAATGGATTATTTTTTGGTGGATAATCTAGTATGTTTATTTATTCTCTTGCATTGGCAATTAATATTTATATGTGTATGTATGCAGAGTAGTCTCCCTTTGGCCGTAACGCACATTTTGTTACCATGACAGACCTGCAAACATCATTCAAATCTCATCACGGGACTCGAAAATTTTATTGCCGCTACATTGGCGCCCAACATGGGTCTGAGTACGGTATTATCAAATTTGAGCAAAAAATGTCTCAGTACCCTAATGAACGGCCCGGAACGTGCCTTCTGTTGACGGGTATGTATGTAACAGGACGAAGAATCACCCCACAGATGACTTCTTTATTATCTCAGTTTGCTGAGGGGTTAACCTCTTTGGTCCGTGGTTCCAATCCCTTCGGAAAATGTATGGCTGCTACAATTACAATGTGATAACAAGACGCCATTATGATGTTGCAGGGAGTGGGAGAAGCCAATGGAATACAGCTGTAAGACAATAGTGCCAATGGGAAACTGGCATGTGTGTATGGACCATCCGTATACGATCAAGCCACCTTGTATTGTATATTCCTTTGGGTACGTATACACTTTCCTTTAGACCCTTCCTAGTGATACCATTAAAGGCTGATGTTCCCGTGTACATAACGGAACGTTCCAGGCGACTAACATACATTTCTGTAGATCACGCGCCAGGCTCAGGGACTTTAGTTATTCCCGAGAATACTGGTGGGTGGGGAGGTAATTGGGTTCTCTAACAAAATTTACAGCCACCAGTTTTTCGAAAATAAGTGTTTTGACGTCATACTATTGTTCTAAGTGTGTATTTGCCCCAGGTTTTACTAAATCTTGAACGACCAAACGGCCGGTGCGTATGTGCATTACTGTTGAATTATTCATGTCAAAGAAATACCATGGAAACGTGTATTCATGATAATATTACACGAGGATTCAGTGTTTTTCGATGTCTTTCTGGTTGACATAAAAAAAGAAAACATTTGTGCATTACAGAATTTCCAATGACTGGACATTTGACGACGCAATGGGAAAGCATGGTTGTGAGGTCCATTGTTTTGATCCAAGGTATGTATGTAACACTGAGACAAAAACCTCGTGAACTCTACCTGCTTAATAGGGGGCACGGGTGGCCCAGTCGTCTAAGGCCCCGCGATTCGCTGTGCAGAGTATGATTGTGGGTTCGAATCCCGGTTCGCCCCGATTATGTTTCTAGGTTTGTCAGCACCATACCCGTGCTCATGGGTTTCACCGAAGTGGTAAACGTCTGAGACCTGCATCACTTCGGACTTTCCTCCCACATTAAGCTGACACGCCTTCATTTGACTGGAATACTGTTAAAAGTGGCGTTAAACCCAACTCACTCACTCACTCACTTGCTTAATAAGTAACAGCTGTCAGAAGGTTAGTAATCACCGAATTTACCATCCTGCGTCCTAGATTGCACGCGGCAGCGTTTGAGAGAAGGGTATCATATTTCTACTTTCGACCAACCTCGACCCTTTTCGCAAACCGCAAAAAGCCGGAATAAAGAGTGTTAACAATTATAGAGGTATTTCATTTATGGATATTTTTTTAAACTGATTCTGTTCAATTCTTAATGAAAGTCTTCAACTGGTTTCAAGTATATATGAGAAGATCCTAGAAGCTCAAGCAGGATTTAGAAAAGGTTACTATCCAGCTGACTATATTTTCACATTTAAGTGCTTAATTCAGAAATATTTAAGAAAGAGTGTTGGCCGATTTTATTGCGTCATTCATGGACAATTAGATAATGTGATGAAAAATATGTACTGTTAAGGTCCTGTCTGCTGTGAGAGCAACCATCACATCAATCGGGGATTACTTCGAATGTCTAAGTCGAGTCAGGCAAGGGTGTGTACGAAGCGACTAAGTCCCTTTCTCTTCACAATGTTTATGTCTGATTTTTTTATCTGAGCCGGTTTTGTAGAATAACTATTATTATTGTATGCAGATGATCTATGACCTCGGATTGGCAAAGTCAAAACAATATAATTTGGACAAGACGTTTAACTTAAGCTTCAGGTATATCGATGGTGTAATATCGTGCAATAACCATCAAATCGCCATTTCCCTTCCACTGATTTACCCACATGAACTAGCAATAAATGAGACCAGCGAGACAGGCTCATCTGTTTGATATTTAGATCTATGCATAAAGATTCAGAGTGACAAAATACTCTCCACAAGACTGTGTGACAAGAGAGATGCTTTCAACTTTCCCTTCATGTCGAGCAATATTCCTGCAGCTCCAGCCCTCAGTTTGGTGTCATTTCACAACTTTTGAGGTATAATCGAGTAAGCTCTTTCTACCAAGATATCAAAGAGCGCCATACGACTCTTGTTCAGAAGCTGTTTGATTTAGCTTACAACATTCAAGGCCCCAGTAAAGCTTTCAAAAAGTTTTATTGTAACGTTTCCAAATTTGACGCATCAGTGACAAAAATTATGTCCGAAGCAATTCCCTATTTTGACTTTTACCATATGTTCCCGTGGGTTTTTTCAGGTGAATAAATTCCTTGCCTTTGTATGTGTTTGTGACGGGTGCCACCGGTGAGACAGGATACGCTCACCTTTTCGCGAACACCTGGTACCATCACTATTTGACAGAGGGGCGGTCGGGTAGCCTAGTGGTTAAAGCGTTCGCTCGTCACGCCGAAGACCCGGGTTCGATTCCCGACATGGGTACAATGTGTGAAGCCCATTTCTGGTGTCCCCCGCCGTGATATTGCTGGAATATTGCTAAAAGCGGCGTAAAACCATACTCACTCACTCACTCACTATTTGACAGTGATTCATAAACACATGCTCATTATATAGTCGGAATTGTACAAACGACTCTGCCTTTGGCAGATATTTCTTGTTTCTTATTTAAATAGGTTAGACGTTATCGGCGGTCCAAGCCTGTGGGGTAACTGCCCATTTCAACGATTAATCATCGGTACCGAATGGTCTTACCTTCAAATGCCACTGCAAATCATTACATGTTATCTTTCGCCTGTACTGTTATGTAATTTGTCATTTACTTCTCTTTTGTAAACTGTATTCCACATATGTCAAGGGGGAGCACAGGATGACCCAAAAACGAGCATTTATGAAAGTGTAGAAAACTTAATTCAAGATTAGTAAACATCAATCACATTAAAATCAAATTATAGTTCTCGCTACCGCTAAACAAAGATCTGAGGACATCCCATTACCGGTTACGTCAGATCTAGACCGACCTTCCGCGAATTTTGACCGACCAATGGAATGACTGACAAGAAGTCGTCTTTCTGATTGGTCGCATGAAAGGTCGTTCTGACGTGACCCGTGATGTGATGTCCTCAGATCTTTGTTTAGCGGCAGCGAGAACTAAGATCTGATTTTAATGAGATCGAGTAAATATATTATTGCAGTTGGTAAACAAGGAGAAGACGGTCCTTTGAAAGATGGATAGTAATCTCTACTAAGTGATCAGTAAATTGCACGAGTATACGATAGGCCACATATACTAGTCTTATCAGTAAATATTCAGTACATTCTCCGAGCATGTTAGTATCTAAGTGGACAGTGGATTTCACTTAGTAAGTAGGTAAACTTAACAACGTATTTGTGTCAGTGTATATGTGTAAACCCACAAAGTGTACAAAGTTAGATCACAGAATAGACAAGCAATGTCGATTTACGTATCATTTTCTTCTCAAAGTAAACATCTGTTCTTATTACTGTTCTTTTCCTTCTTTGGGACCAGTCATTTATTGTGTGTGTGCGTGGGAATCAGAGGTTTTTTATGCACTTTTGTACTGGAACTAATAACTAACTACCCTTCCCTGTGCTTCATTTGGGTGATCCTCCCAGAATAACTAAACGCAGAAGCACTTTATATTTTATAATTAAATGTCCATTTTACAAGACCCTATTTGTATTACCCTCCCCTAGAGACGGTTTTATTTTTGGTTACCGTCCCCTGATTCTCTATAGCAATAAATGACCCGTCCCTCATAGGTCGACTAGTGTAACGTGGGACAATGTCGTATATATTAAGATTGAGGGCGTTGGTTTAACGCCAGTTAGTAGTTCAGGCTTTTCAGTTATTTCAGATTTCACGGCTTGCCTCTTACATCCTATGGAATTTGTTTCGGCGGATAATCGAGACTGGTTGTTCTCTGACGTTATATACGACTTTTAACACGAGTGCTGATAAACCTAGATATATATTCAGGGGGAATCTAGTCCTGTGACCACTACCTGACTGAACACTACATTTCTGCTCTTTAAACACTCCTCAGATGCCCTCTGAACACTCCTTGTCCTTTGCAAACTGCCTTTTGAATACCTGACCGTTCTTGAAGCACTCTTCTCTCATCTGAACACACTTAAACTGTCAGCTTATCACACAGGTATATCTCCTACGATTGCAATATTTTTGGTTCGCTGACATGTGTCCATTCATAAGGACCGACATAGATATCAGTTATACTCATCTTCATACGTTGGAGGTGGTGTAGTGGCCTAGTGGTTAAAACGTTCGCTCGTCGCGCCAAAGACCCGGGTTCGATTCCCAAAATGGATACAATGTGTGAAACCTATTTCTGGTGATATAACTGGATTAGTTGCGTAAAACCATACTCACTCACCCATACGTAGACAATGTCCGCCTTTCATGAACATCACCAGTGTGAATATATTATAATTGCAAGCATCCTCTCTCAGTATAGGAAAACAGGACTTTAACAGAAGCCCGAACGTCCATTTCCACAACCTCGGCATCGCAGGGTATGACAGTGACACATTTGAGGCACGAAAGGATGTCTACGTCCATCACAAACAAATATGGAAAATCAGACGCCTCAAGTCTGTCATGGAAATGCTTGGACATGCAAATGTAAGTCCCAATACAAATTACTTTATCAATGAAAATTAGGTGAGTGATGGGTGCTACCGGCGGAGCAGGGCACGCTTACCCTTTCCGCGGACACCTGGTGTCATCACTGATTTCCACCGATCCATGGATATAATTGTCATTACCATTTTGCCTTGTGCGCTCAGTGGAATCTGGTTCGGAAGATTTTTGAGGCGTTGATGTTTTCAACTTCCTATCATAAAAATATTGTTGTCACGAAATAATACCCTTGACAATGGGGACTCTATTGACAACGTCATGTAAAAAAACCTTGTTTTACATCTCTTTTTTTCAAGTCAAGGGGTAGGTACATATACATGTTGATAGAGTCTTCGTTTCATTGTTATTCCATTTCACAAGCACTTTAACTTATACTATTTTCACAACTGTAATTAAAGAAAACAATGAAGAGCGAGTGAGTGAGTGAGTATGGTTTTACGCCGCTTTTAGCAATATTCCAGCAATATCAAGGCGGGGACACCAGAAATTGGCTTCACATGTTGTACCCATGTCGGGAATCGAACCCGGGTCTTGGGCGTGACGAGCGAACGCTTTAACCACCAGGCTACCCGACCACCCCTACAACAATGAAGAGTGAGTGAGTGACTATGGTTTTACGCCGCTTTTAGCAATTTTCCAGCAATATCACGGCGGGGGACACCAGAAATGGGCTTCACACATTGTACCCATGTCGGGAATCGAACCCGGGTCTTCAGCGTGACGAGCGAACGCTTTTACCATAAGGCTACCCGACCGCCCCAAAACAATGAAGAAGAGAGAACACTTATGTAATATGTTATTAATGTTAGTCAGGAAGTAGTTGCATGAAAAAGTTCAACTTCGCAATGGAAAATAACTCTAAGAAACAGAATATGTCTTTAAACAAAACACCTTGTATTTCCTTTAGCCAACATCTTAATCGAAAACTCTTTAGGATTTATTGATATAACATTTTTTTCAACTTGTGCAAAAGAAACTTTTAATAGCTTTAAACCAGTGGAGAAAAATGCTAAATCGCAAAACGTTTATGATTAATTAATGTAAAAGTTTTGATAACCTTGAATTACGTTATTTCTAGAAAACCATCGATGTTCTCAAGATTGACGTAGAAACAAGCGAGTGGCCAACGGCGAAGGATCTAGTGGGGTCGGGTGTGCTCTCCAAGGTCAGACAATTCCTGATAGAATGGCACCTGTTCTTTGACTATCCCAGCACGGACAAATATCTTGAGTTGTACAATACTTACATGGCTGTGAAGGACCAAGGATTCTCCACTTTCAAGGTAGATTTTCATCACAACACCATAAAGAAAAATAACCTGCTGTTTCAAGCTGACGTGGATTACGTCAACACGGCGTATAAAGGGAAGTAATTCTTACCGGGCCAAGAAATGGACATCACTCTTTGCAGCTACCTACACTTTGGTATGAAGTCGGGCAATTGTGCCTACTCTGTATCTTAAAGAAAAAAAATTGTACTGTCGGAAACGCTCGGAAACTGCTTTTTGCCCATTAAAACAAGATAGAATATTTGACAGACTGTTGTTATTGAAATATCGAGTAACTACCGATCTAATTTGAACGAAAGTTCAGATGTTTTCTAAGTCCAATGATGGAAGCCTGAATCTTAATATAGGAATATGCGCGTGTGAGTCAGTTAGTAAGTGAGTGAGTGACTATGGTTTTACGTCGCTTTTAGCAATTTCCGGCAATATCACGGCGGGGGACACCAGAAATGGGCTTCACACATTGTACCCATGTCGGGAATCAAACCCGGGTCTTCGGCGTGACGAGCGAATGCTTTAACCACTAGGCTACCCGACCGCCCCAGTAGTAGTAGTAGTAGTAGTAGTAGTAGTAGTAGTAGTAGTAGTGTAATAGTAGTGGTATGAACAATAATAATAATGTAATATTCATGAAGAATCTTATCCACAAATGATAAGTCAACTTGAAAATATTCAGCTCCTCTCTGAAAGTGCATCTAGAAAATAACAACTTGACGGTGCAATTGACGTTCACATAATGCATGATGCATTACACGTGCAAAGCCATGGCACACGACATGGAGTCTGCAGTTGGACATGTATAGTTTTTACACTTCAGATAGATAAAGGGAAATCATTTATTAGTTTAGATAGGGCGTATTTCCGAACTGTCCAAGCTCTGGGGCTTTCATACCAACAGGTCTTCGCCAGGATAAGTAAAACAAAGAAGGTAGGGGTGGTGTCAAAAACAAAACCGGGACGTAAACGGACATTAGACAGCTTTGATACAGGGGTGATTAGGCGTACAGTGTACACGCTTTATGAGCAGAAGGTACACCCATTTTGTAGTAGAATTCGACAAGAAATTACAGACATAATTAATGTTTCCTGGACTATATTAAGTATTGCTCTCCATGAGATTTGATGTAGATACAGTGCGCGTGGCGATGACCGAGCAGTTTTCAGGGGTAAATATTCCACCCTCTCTGTGAGGTCACATTATCATGACAATCGCAGTCAGGGCTTCCAGATCATTTACCTTGATAAAGAATAATAATCCCACTGACTACATGTGGATACCGTCAGATGGACCAAAAGCACCCGTGGTTCCATCAGGTAAAGGTTATCGTGCCATTGTGTTGCACGTCGGAACCCGTGATCTGGGGCTTAGTGATGAATGTGAGCTAGTTTTCGAGGCGAATTATCATAAGGAACTGAATGGTGATGTGTTCATAGACTGGTTGGAACATCGCAACTGGTCAATCAAAACAACGTTAGTTGCTTTGTCATGAAGCACGCCAGTTATCATAACGCCCGGGAACCAGATACTGTCGCGCCAACCATGAGTAGTCTAAATACGACCATGCATTAATATCTTGCAATGTCAACTTCAGACAATCTGAATTGAAAGTTCCCCAACTAAGGTGACACGTGCACCTGTGAAAATGCACGGCCGTTGTGAGGTCATCACCTCGGGACAGGTGTCAGGTAATTGCCTCAGGCAAAAGGTCGTTTCATACATACATTATACACACACGAACATTTTTTATAAGTTTATTATCATTTCACCTGAAAATGTACCTTTCAAGGCATATCACAGTGCCAGTTAGGATAGGCCAGGTTAGGTAGATTTGCGTTATTTTGATATATGCTGTTTTCCTACCCATAGGATTCGAATTTATTAAATGAAGCCAGGAAAAGCATTTATCTAGCATTTCCTACAGTACCCTTTTAAGCTATAGTCCAGGTTTGAAGATAGCTACCAATGCATGTCGTAAAAGGCGACTATGCTTGTCGTAAGAGGCGACTAACGGGATCGGGTGGTGGGACTCGCTGACTTGGTTTATGCATGTCATCGCATCCCAGTTGCGTGGATCGATGCTTATGATGTCAATCACTGGATTGTCTGGTCCGTGCTCGAATATTTACAGACCGCCGTCATATAGCTGGAATAGCTGAGTGCGGCGTTTAATATCAAACAATCAATCAACCAATGCAAATAAGTTAGAAGCAACAAGCCAACCTGTTAGAGATTTTTGAGGCGCTTCCAGTTTTTGCGAAAAAAATCGATAAAATCTATGAATTACTTGAGGGAATTGTAATCGAAATGTTCAGTTATTGAAATTGGACATAAATTACGCCGTGCTCTCAAAACAAGCGGAGCCAAACAAACTTAGTTTTACACAACACACCAGTTGTTATTTTTTTGGTCAGACCCGAGAAAAGGTTATATTTATCCAGCATCATCCAAGCTCTGTCAGGATCTTCTGCTGGCGGGTTCGAATTCACTTTGATTAAGATCACTGGTCTGTTGGCACTGTGTCCAGCTCACGGCTTTCTTAAAGGCGCTGGATTGACCTGGCTCTTATTCCTATCGTTGGTACAATGTGTGAAGCTCTTTATTGGTACCTCGTTCGTGAAATCCCAAGAATTAACGACCTAAAACAATACTAAATGCCTCACTCACGCCTTAATGTTAAGAACGTCTGTGACATGCGTCACCTAGGGTCTCATCCTCCTGGCGCATGGGTGACGTAAGGTTCAAGCATTAGATCACATAGTCTCTCCATTGAAATTAAAGTAGGGGCAGTCGGGTAGCCTTGTGGTTAAAGCGTTCACTCGTCACGCCGAAGACCCGGGTTCAATTCCCGACATACGTACAATGTGTGAAGCGCATTTCTGGTGTCCCCCGCCGTGATATTGCTAGAATATTGCTAAAAGCGGCGTAAAACCATACTCACTCACTCACTCACTCAAATTAAAGTAGCCAACTTTGCAAAAAATCAAAGACACCTAATTTTGTTGTACAGAGTTGTGTCCCCTTAGTAGTGCCAGGTTCCGGTGATCCGGGTTTGAATCCAAGACTCGCCTTTATTATGAACCTTATGGTTTGTCAGCACACTAACTGTGCTCCTGGAGTTGTAGTTTAACTCCGCTTTGTACAGTCGCTCAGTCACATCAAGCATGTCAGCTTGATGCCGGTAGTGATGCAGGTCTTAGACGTTGAGCCCTTGGTTAATCGCAAGGTGCTGACCAAAATCATCTTCAGACCGAATCTCTGATCGCCCGATCACAGACTCCAGGCACGCAAATCTGCAAACCGAATTGTGGCGTCTTTGACGATTCGTCTCCTCGCACCCATTCTCCACTTACACTTTTGATTTCTTCATAGCTCAAGCTGTCACGCCGTCAAATAACTCAAATAATTTTCAAAGTGTAGTTAAACCCAACTCACCCACTTGTAATAAATCCATACATCATCGTGTGAAGTACCTGGATGGCAAGAATAGATCGTCTCGGATATTGTTTTGAAGTGATTGAACATATATATTTCTGCCATTTATGCAAACAGCGACCTGTAAATAATCCAGGCTGAAACAGTGGTTGACATTGTGAGCAACGCCCAACGCCATAGGGATACACCTGTACGCAGTCAGCCAAGTCACCGAACCTGACCAGCCGCTGCAATCAAGTTGCCTTTTACGACAAGCAATATGGTGCGGGCGAGTTTTCTAACCTGGTCCCGCGGGTCCGGCTCTTAGGTAGCATGTAGTACAGAGCACCCATTTGAAGCCGGAATCCCAGAAAAGGTCAAATGCATAAAAAGAAATGAACAGGAACAAACATAAGTATCTCATATATGTCATAAGTTTCTCATCATTTACAAATAAAACGTAAATAGGAAAGTTAAAGAATTATATTATTTATTTATCTTTAAATAGTCGTTCTGTAACAAATTGAACAAACTCGAATTCATTAAGTCGCTGTATGTGGACAGAAACTTTATCGGCACTATGGCCAATAGATGTTATTATAATATCGGCACTCCGCCTGACCCGAACAACGGATAACTCGACCTATTTGTATATAGTCCCGGGGACACTGAGTCAACTTTGCTTTACTGTATAGACATGTGGCCGAAAGGATAGCATTGGCAGGGACATTCCTTTTACGCGACATAACTAAAGACAATGGGTTTAAATGTACAAGAAGTGCTATAAAAGGAAAACAATGTTTCGTAAATATATATAGTGTCACGGACGTACATGTACAATACTCATTGTGGACGTGGTTCAGAAACAAGTCTATGGGTCAGCGTCAGCAGTGGACGAGGCTGTGCCCTGTACCACCGTTCGACCGCGTTCCGAAGGTGTCTGTTTGAAACCCGCACACCGGAAGACGTCAAACACTTCCTTCCGAAAGCGCTTGGATGACACACTGTAGATGAGAGGGTTCACGGCGTTACTCATCAAGGGAGACAACTTGGCAATGTCAGCCACAGCTTTTACGCCTGGAGACAACACGTTCAATTGTCCGTCAAACAAAAACACTATGACAGCGATGAAGTAAGGAAAGTAGCTACAGAAAAACGCAACCGTTACAGCAAAAAAGATTTTTGCTGATGTCTTGTGAGACCGAAACATTTTATTCTTTTTCTCGCATATTGTCGTTGAAGGTCTCCTGGCTGTGTGTATCTTTAAGGCACGATATATGGATATGTACAGGAAAGCTAAGGTGATCATTACAGCAATAAACACTGCACTCAGGATCGTCATGAATAACCAAAACAATGCCGTCCAGTCCATTTCCTCTCTGAAATAACATTGTGTAATGTTCACTCGCACTCCGTTGTCTTCAAACATGAGCTCTCTCCTGCCGTTCACAAATATGCTGGGAATTGCAACAGCAATCCCAACAGTTAAACCCAGAAGGCAAAACTTCCGAGCTGAATCCACGCTGATCTTCTTTTTCAATGGGTTACATATGTTCCTGTTGCGGTCAAAAGCAATAACGACCAGCACAACGGCTGAAGCCATCACTGTAGTCATGGCTACAAATGAACTTGTTTGGCACAAGACAGTGAACCTTTGATTCTGGTCGTTCAGAGTGATGACCAGGAATAGCGGGATGGTGATGCTGGCGTTGGTAAGGTCAAGGGCGGCTAGGACCTCAATGAACAGACTGAAGTTGGAGCGGCGCCAACGGAAGTGGTAAATGTAGATGACCAGAATGTTGCCGAGGATTGCTAAGACCAACATGAGACAGAGAAAGATGACCTCTGCTCCGTGCCATTTCCATAGATAAGAAGCGGTGTTTCTTGATACATCAGTGTAGTCGGTGGTTGAGTTTGGTATCATTTTTTCCGCTTGCACTGCCCTGTAATAAATGGAGACACATGTTGAGAATGTTTTATTGTGTCATTATTTCTCGTTTAAGAAATCAATATTGTTTTATCCTTTTGCTGTCTCAGTAAGTATTATATGGACTTGTTTGCATTCAGCAATATCCCAGCGATTTGACGCGGCCTGTAAATAATCGCGTCTGTACCATACAATCCAGTGATTGAGTTTATGAGCTTAAATCCACACCGTTGGGTATGATGGCACGCATTAGGTAACCGAGACTTGACCAGACAATCCACTGGCACCTACGCAATTTAGACATGATGACAAAATCAACCAGGTCCTCGAGCCTGATATTGTAAAAAAGTCGCCTCTTGCGAGGTTGCTGTGGACCTATAATCTTATATGGGATCCATACGGGTCTACATGGTCGAATACTAGTGATTTGTATACTTATTAGATGTATATTATATGTTCTAAATACAGGATGCTGGAATATGTACCATTTTAATGTATACCAATATGCTGGGGTTAGTGAGTTATTCTATAAGCCGCTTTAATCAATTTTCAAGCAATAACTTCATCATTACTACAGATGGTCATCCGGAGGTGACGTGATCTCAATCCCTTAAACATGATTCATAACATGGATGTGTATAACACGCTGGCAATCACTCATACCTAAAAGCTGAAGCAGGTATGCTAATTTTCCTTTTTATCATATCGTAGTATTTTAGAAGGGTAACTTAAACCTTTTTCTTTTTACATTTAAATGTTACCTTATATGCTTTCAAACAATCTTTAAATTTGGAATAACTTCTTTTAAAAACGTCCAATTTTGCAACCAATTTTGTGTATGTACTTTTAACCGATTATAGTGACATGCATATTAATGCTTATTTCGCCGTTGTAGCCATTTCACTCACCCAATTTTAGAATTATACAACACTTTGAAAGGGAAGACCAACTGAGGTGTCATTCTGTTTACCCGAAAAAATGTTATTAATTCTTTGATGATGAAATACATATGTAACCCGTGTACATGTATGTACCATATTACATTAAACTTCGTCATAAAAAAATATGTATTCATAAGATGTACTTGAATACAGCATATAATAAATCGCTGTGTGGATTCCGGGGTAAAAAGGGTCAATATGAGTGTTTGTGATCATGTGAGGCGGCTGAAGGGATCGAGTGGTCAAGCCAGATGACTTCTTAATATCAATCACTGGATTGCCTGGTCCAAATTCAATTATTGTCATATAACTGGAATGTTTTAGCAATGCCTTAAAAAAAAAAACATTACAAAAAATCATTTACGTTCACAAACATGATAACAGATCCAAAGCGCTGACACAATAACAATAGCTATACCCTACCTGAACAGTGGTGAGAGACGCTGCAGATATGTCGCAGTTGGTGTCGCAGTATATAGTCCCCAACAGCGTCTGACGTCTTTGGGTGTTTATGTCAAGCAACTATAACGTGGATGGACGTTGGACCGGATTTCGGTAGCAGATGGGGGGATGTTTCCTCTTGATCTCTCTTGTGCATATGTACGTACCAACTAGAGAAGATTCACTTTATGTTGGTAATGTTATCATATACATTGTAGATGTACTACACACCAAGATAAACAAATGCTTGGAAACGGAGGGTGCGTTTTGTGATCACAAGCTAACGTATGAGTGGTAAAGTGAATGCAAGTAATATTTGGGTTCAAAACATTACGTGATATGTGTTAGAATGTAAACACATACAAAACTTGTTTGGGATTGTGTTAAAATCCTAAACGGAATACACAATAATCCCGTCATTCTGTCTATACACACACAAAAAACATGAAAACACATGAAATGACCTATCGCATCACAACCTAAACACCATCTAAATACAACATCCCTATAATCTAAAAATATTCAGAATTAAACATGTATTCAAAAGATGTTACTTTATATAGCTAATTAAAACATCGCTGTGCGGACCGCGTTTAGAATGTAAACAAAAACAAACATGTTAAGGAATATATTTCAATTCTACATGGAATAGATATTTCGTTGTGTCAACACGTTGAGGGTTTAAACACATGAAATGAGCTATCGTATCGCAGCCTAAACACCATCTAACACAACAAACATCCTTATAATCTAAACATGTTCAGAATTAAACATGTTCAAAAGATGTTACTTGTATACAGCAAATTTAAAAAATTGCTATGTGGACCGCGTTTAGAATGTAAACAAAAACAAAACACGTTTAGCGACATCTTTAAATCCTTTACGGAATACAATTTAAACATGTATCAACAAATGTTACTTGCATGAATACAGCATATTAAACGATCATATGCGTCACTAAAAATGTTGCGTTTAGAATGTAAACAAAAACAAAACATGTTCAGGAATATATTTCAATCCTACACATTTCGTCGTGTCAACACGTTGAGGGTCTAAACACATGAAATGAGCTATTGTATCACACCATCTAAACACAACATTCCCATATCTAAAAATGTTTACGACAAAGTGTATATCATTGTGTATTATCCTAATACTCGAAACATGTTTAGAATTTAAACATGTTCAGGAAACAGTGCATATCACAGGGTAGTAAGTTAAATATGGATCAGCTGTATAACATATTGAAATTCGGTTTTGCAATACATCAGATCAAGCTATGTTTTACAATCCCAAGTTACCGCTATGAACAATACTTCAACCTTGAGCGGTAACACATGGTGAAGAGTGGAAGCCCATTAGTTACCTCCCCTTCCGGAAGTATACAATCTAATTTCTAAAACAGGCGGTCAATTGGCAAGCTGAAAATGAACGAGAGCAGATTACTTTTAGTTGTTCTGATTTGAAAACAGAATATTGATTTTTCGATATTGTCCACGTCACTAAAGATAGGTTTTAACAACCTTTTTTATTTCAAACAACCTTTTGAGCATCCTGGGTATTAGCAGTGACATTATATGCACAATGTTATGTTTAATACCCCAGACACAATCATCAAGAAAGTTACAATTATTGTGTCTTGCTTTTCCTTCGTTCTATTTTCTGTATTTATTGAGGCAATTCAACAGAAAGTAGTGCATATAATATACCATGGATAACATTGGGCCATAACTCTACATATATTGTACGTTTGAACTTACACTTAGCGTTAATTTGCTGACTTTGTTGATTGCATTTCATCTTACTCTGACTTCATGAATCGTTCATCATAATATCGATCATTTGATTGTCTGGTGATTGCATATCACGTGCAATATATAATGGGTTTTACGTCTCATGAATTTTCTATATGACATAAATAAACATTGACAAACCATTGATCGAAATGATGAGCAACGACCCACGCTGTCGAGGTACGATGGCACGGCAATCTAATTAAAAAACAATCTTATTGCTCGCTGCCGCTTCACAACGGTCTGAGCACATCCCATTACAGGTCACGTTAGAACGACTTTTCATACTCCAAATCAGAGTGCTGCTCATGAGATCGCGAAAGTGAAAATTCAAATGTGTTTTTAAATCAATTAAGCTCGAAAATGTTAGCACTGGACATTTCGAACGAGAGTCACGTGCTGTACGATTGATTCTGATCCATTCATCTAATTTTCATCACAACATCCCCCAACACCCCCCCCCCCCCCCCCCCCCCCCCCCCCCCCCCCAACCTACCATCCATTTGAACTGGTTGTTCACTGGCGCACAAGCATTATATTTCCATAGCCCGTGGGAAATACTGCCATACAATCTTGGTTATCCCATAAGGGATTCCAAAATATTAACTTCTTAAGATTTCAAATTTTGAATCGAGATATTTAGTCAAAATATTTTTCAAAGACTGGTCAGGAATGGAGGTCGCCATTTTCAAACTAGTGCCGTAAAGCTCGAGAAAATTGCTTTCTGATTGTCTAATATCGACTTCCAGTCATTTCATTGGTCGGCCAAAATTCGCGAATGGTCTTTCTGACGTGACCTGTAACGGAATGTCCTCACATCTTTGGTGCAGCGGAATCAAGCAGTTAGATCTGATTTTAATCACCTAGCCTGGTGACTATTACCATCAAGTCGCTTCTTACGACTTACACAAACTAGAGGAGATCTATTCTAAACCCGAATCCACACGTGGGGTCTGTTACAGAAATATATATTTAACTTTCGCCAATATTTCTTGACAAAATGTGTATCAAGGAGAACGTTAAACTGACCATTGTAAACAAACATGTTTCTCGAGAATGTTGTCAAATCTTTGACTGAAAGGACACAGTACAGGGAAATGAACAAGCCCCACACTTACCATGTAAACAGGAAAGGTATTTACTTCATCACTAACATACGTCACGTCCAACGCCCGTTAGGAGTGAGCTCTGCCCGATGACAGGCCGTAGACTGTAATCTTGAAGGGTATCGGAGTCGGAGATCTGATTTTTTAATCTTTCACATAACTATGCTTTCTTACATAACATACAGTCTATCATTCCTGTTATGCCCAATATATCTGCCGATCTCTATCCTGGGTTCATGCGATATACATTGAAATTTAGCATGGCCTCGTCCATATTGATAAATTGTTTACAATGTTGATACACATACCTTATCACCAACCGTTCTTGCCATACAAATCCAAATCCATACACTGATAAAATGTTTACCTTTGGATGTCCAGTTTCTTTAACCATTTACACCATACATCAAAAACATGTTATTACAATTTTTTACATACTTATATTTTATGACCCGTTTAAAAGTATTTATGTACATCGGGGATCTTCAACATTCGACTTTACAATGTTAAATGCTACGGAAACTTAACTCCTAAGAATCGTTTACAGGCTGAAAAATGCGCACGTTTATTGTAAGTGAGTAAGGGTTTACGCCGCTTTTAGCAATATTTCAGCAATATCACGACGGGGAACACCAGAAATGGGCTTCACACATTATACCCATGTCGGGAATCGAACCCGGGTTACGTGACGAGCGAACGCTTTAACCACTAGGCTACCAGACCACCCCCGTTAAGTGAAAGAATTCATTGAACCGAAAAGAACTTCATTAGAATGCATACATATACCACCTAAATATTTACTACAAAGAGACCGCCTCCGTGGTCTAGTGGTAGAGCGTCCGCCCGGAGAGCGGAAGGTCCGGGGTTCGATCCCCGGCCGCGTCATACCAAAAGACGTTAAAAGATGGTACTTGTTGTTACCCTGTCTTGCGCTCGGCATTAAGGGGCTAAAACAAGGACTGGTCGGCTCGGAGTCAGTATACTGTGTCTGAGTGGGGTATTCATGTTAAACTGCGGCATGGTATCTCAGTGGGCTAGCACTATAAATCGGCATCAGTCCGGTCTAGTACAAGCAGCCACACACACACACACATGTGCATGCACGTCGCTATATAAGTGCAATAATCTTGCACGCGACGTTAAACCCAATTTCACCTCACCGTATTTAAAACTTAACACCTAAATGCTTATATTAGAGAAAAACACTTTCTAACTGTATACCATCACAGGTCGATTTTCATATTCATCGTCCTTGAAACTATAACTAACTGGCACATGAATAATACTCATCTACAAACAGAATAAGAAATAACTGTACATGTTCAGGCTGAAGTTGTATTCCTGGTAACCAACAGGCTTCAATCCCTCACGCCAATTCACTGATGAGAATAGAGAATAATTTAGGGAGTAATACACACCCCTGCCGTAAAACGAGTCTCTAAAACTTGCATAAGTTTTCCTCACCCTTTGGATAGCGTTGTAAAATGGATTGCAGAATGAAAACACTGTATAGTTCTATACCCTTTTGTGTATCGGTACAAGCCAACCACTGCACCATGGTTAAGGCAAATAGGACCTATTAAACTCAAAATAGTGAGTGAGTGAATTTACTTAACCCCGCGTATAACAGTATTCCTTAATATCACGGCGTGTCAGCTAAATGTAGTAGGAATCCCCGAAGTGATGCAGGTCTTACCCGTTTACCACTTTGATGAAGGGGTACGGGTGGCCCAGTCGTCTAAGGCGCCGCGATTCGCTGTGCAGAGTTGCATCCCTTATGTACGCCCGAAACCTATGATTGTGGGTTCGAATCCTGGTTCGTCCCGATTATGTTTCTAGGTTTGTCAGCACCATACCCGTGCTCGTGGGTTTCACCGAAGTGGTAAACGTCTGCGACCTGCATCACTTCGGGCTTTCCTCCCACATTAAGCTGACACGCCGTGATATAACTAGAATACTGTTAAAAGCGGCGTTAAACCCAACTCACTCACTCACTTTGATGAAACCCACAAGCACGGGTATGGTGCCGACAAGTAGAGAAACTTGGGCGAATGGGGATTCGAACCCACAATAATATGTTTCTCTCTGCTCAGCGAATTGCGTCACGGACACATTGTAATATAAGCAACTAAATTGGCATGTACATTTTTAAAGAACTCCGCAAAGATGTGAACAGGTCCGGCACTAAATCCGCATATCCACATTTGATATCTCATCTCTTGTAATAGGAGAGTGAAGTATATAATGGTTTGATATGCCATCCACAATCTGACCATCATTCTCAAGAGCAACATGTTTACTTCGTGGATCTTGAAATACATCTCCAAAATGTTCATACCAACCTGCCACAGTAATATCGGGCCAGATCTCACAAACCGTTTGGATTATTTGGATTACTTTCTAAGTTAGCTTTAATTTAGTTCTTTCTTAGGCCGCATAGTAATACTGTATTTATTTCTGGCAGTTGTATTAATGTGTGGTCATTCTGCCATCTGTAACACTTCAACTGTCTGTCTTTCTCGCCATCATATAGCTGGAATATTGCTGAGTGCGGCGTAAAACAACCAACCAACCAACCAACTTTCTCACATCTTAGGAAGAAGTACTCCTCATCCTCCTCATCATACCATGGGTAGAAATGAGGTTATAAGATTTGATTTCCTGCCTGCAAAGTGCATCTTTAACAATTAGAACACCATCATCTATTTCAGACAATACATTATCACAAAACAAGTTGAACATTCTCTTAATGTCAGGCGAGAGTAAATATTTTCTTGGAAAACCTCTGCTTTGTCGATATCCCTCAGGAACTTGTCTGAATCACGGTGCGTGACACGTGATAGTCCTGTTTGTCGATATCCCTCAGGAACTTGTCTGAATCACGGTGCGTGGCACGTGATAGTCCTTATTGTCAGATCACAACGGGAAATGATCAGAGTGTAACCTAGATATGTTGTCAAAGTCCAGACACAGTGTTAAAACATTCCTGATGTAATTTTAACGTATAATTATAACATATATATTATAATAATAACACTTGTACCAACTGAAGAAACAAAATGAATGGTACCAATGCCTGCATCTGATCCACAGCTACCGTTCATAATGTCTAATTCGATTCCAGACATGGGTACAATGTGTGAAGCCGTTTCTGGTGTCACCCGCCGTGATATTGCTGTAATATTGCTAAAATCGGCGTAAAACAATACTCACTCACTCACTCACTCACTCATAATGTTTAAGGGGCGGTGGGGTGGCCTAGTGGTTAAAGCGTTCGCTCCTCACGTCGATTGCCCGGGTTCGATGTATGAAGGCAATTTCTGGTATTCCCCGCCGTGATATTGTTGGAATATTGCTAACAGCGGCGTAAAACCCTACTCACTCATTCATCATGCAAAGTTTAAGAAGCCCATACCTACAACAGAACATGATCATACGTGTTGATAATATTGTCCTGGATCTAGCGTTTCCTTTTTCAAGTATCATGAGTATATTGAGTGCTACTGGTAGGGCAGGACATGCATACGCATTTTGCGAACACCTGGTGTCATCACTTATTTTCATCACCGCTATTTTACCTTTTGCGCCCAAAAGAATCTGTTTCGTCGCACAATGGTTAATGAATGGTGTGTAGCTTTTTTCTATATACATTCATCCTCAGTATAATCGCATTCGGAACCCGTTCTTACATTAAAGTCGCCGCTAAGTAAACTAGTGACGTCACCGTGTTCCTCGAGAATGTCAAGTTGAGAAAGCCACACATAAATTACCACATACACATGACGTACACCACACACAAGCGATGTATACCACATATACATAACTTATTTCTATACCAATATGAACACTCTGGGTGAATATACGCACGGGCAATTAAAACATTTTTATTTATGTCACACAATCGCGTGTCTGACAGTATAAACAACGCGGTCTCTTTCAAGACCTTGTTCCCTCAATAAACTGTTAAATGGTTTCCCTTTCCACAATGTATGATATATTATGTTTACATTGGTGAACATTTTTTAATCTTTTTTAAATCTCTCATCATACAATTTAGAAGACAACCGTCATTGTTCCAAAACAAGTCACTGATTAGACCACGTGTGACGATCCGGGATAGCATTGGTCTTTAGCAACCCATGCTTGTCTTTAGAAGCGATTTTGCTTGTGGTAAGAGGCGACTAACGGGATCGAGTGTCAGGCTCGCTGATTTGGTTGGTGCATGTCATCGTATCAACATGGCCACATCCGTCTCTGGTTCGTCTATCCTTCCTTCCTCTCCCTGCCGGTCACCTCGTAACAGATCTGCCTGACGTGGTGTGCATCTGTGTGACTGTCACTTCATGGTAGGACTCAATTCTATTGAAGAACTTAGATCCTTGGTAGGACTCAGATCCATGGTAGGACTCAGGTCTATGGTAGGACTCAGAACTAGGGAAGGACTCAGATCCATGGTAGGACTCAGACCTAGGGAAGGACTCAGATCCATGGTAGGACTCAGATGTAGGGCAGGATTCAGATCCATGGTAGGACTCAGACCTAGGGAAGGACTCAGATCCATGGTAGGACTCAGATGTAGGGCAGGATTCAGATCCATGGTAGGACTCAGGTCAATGGTAGGACTCAGACCTAGGGAAGGACTCAGATCCATGGTAGGACTCAGATGTAGGGCAGGATTCAGATCCATGGTAGGACTCAGGTCAATGGTAGGACTCAGACCTAGGGAAGGACTCAGATCCATGGTAGGACTCAGACCTAGGGAAGGACTCAGATCCATGGTAGGACTCAGATGTGGGGCAGGATTCAGATCCATGGTAGGACTCAGACCTAGGGAAGGACTCAGATCCATGGTAGGACTCAGATGTGGGGCAGGATTCAGATCCATGGTAGGACTCAGACCTAGGGAAGGACTCAGATCCATGGTAGGACTCAGATGTAGGGCAGAATTCAGATCCATGGTAGGACTCACACCTAGGGGAGGACTCAGATCCATGACTGGATTCAGCTCCATGGCAGGACTCTGATCTATTATAGAAGTACTTAAAACGTACGCAAAAGGACTGAGATACACAGCTAAACTTAGATCCGCGGTAGGGCTCATCTCTGAGGTTGGATTCAGATCCATGGTAGGGTGTAGATCCGTCGTAGGATGTATTTAGATTCTGGGTAGGACTCAATTTAAAAAAAACAGCATTACGTCTGTGGTAGGACTGAAATCCACGGTAGGAGTCGGATCGATGGTTTGTCTCAGATGCATGGTTGGAATCAGATCTATGATGGGATTCAGATATACGATTTACATCCGTTGTCCTCTAAAGATGGACCTAGATCAGTGGTAGGATTCAAATCTATGGAAGGACTCAGATCCATGGCAGAGCGTAGATCCGTGGTAGGATGTATTTAGATTCTTGGTAGGACTCAATAACGTAACAGCATTACATCTGTGGTAGGACTCAAATCCATAATGGGATTTAAATCTATGATGGGATTCAGATATATGATTTACATCCGTTGTCCTTTCTAGAAGGACCTAGATCCGTGGTAGGATTCAAATCCACGGTTTGAGTCAGATCAATGGTTTGGCTCAGCCCTAGGGTAGGATTCAGATCCCTTGAATAACTCTGATCTATCATAGAAGTACTTAGATCCGTGATAGACACATATACGCAAAAGGACTGAGATGCACAGTTGAACTTAGATCCGCGGTAGGACTCATCTCATCGTTAGATTCAGATCCGTGGTAGGATGTATTTAGATTCTTTGTAGGACTCAATTACATAATAGCATTACGTCTGTGGTAGGACTCAAATCCATGATAGGACTCAAATCCATGGAAGGACTCAAATCCATGATGGGATTCAGATATATGATTTACATCCGTTGTCCTTCATAGAAGGACCTAGATCAGTGGTAGGTTTCATATCTTGGGTAGAACGCAGATGCATGGGATTCAGATATATGATATGATTTACATCAGCGGTAAGACTGAGATGTTTAGAAGGACTTAGATCCTTAGGACGTAGGATTCAGATCTAGGTAGGATTAAGATCGAAGCATTTAGAATAGTTATAGTTATCTGCATAGTTTGAGCATACCATTGAATACTCTCTAATTTGTCTAACCGTTTCTTGGTTTGAAAGGACCATACCCTTGCTCGGGGGTCCCACTAAAGTGGTAAACGTCTAAGACCTGTCCCACTTCTGGCTTTCCTCCCACTTAAGCTGGCGGCCGCGATGGAACAGACTTATTGTTCATGTAAACATAACTCACTCACTCGCATTCACAGGAGTACAACGCAGTGCTGTACTTCAAATGCAGGCCATCGCCTATCAAACGAGCCCTATTCGGAAGTAATTGCTAACAACATGTCCGCTGTGTCACTACAAGGAGGCGTTGAGGCCACGCCATTAAGTGGTGAGGAAACATTACTTTCTAAGAAATCGAGAATGTGGACGGTGCTCCTTAACGAAGAATGATACTTACATATACGTAGATTACATTACAATGAGTCAGTGAGAATGGTCAAACGCCGCCTATATCAAAATTAGTCGGCCCAGTCGTCTAAGGCGCCGCGATTCTTTGAGGAGAATCGCATCCCTTGGATACACCAGAAACCTATGATTGTGGGTTCGAATCCTGGTTCGCCCCGATTATGTTTCTAGGTTTGTCTGCACCATACCCGTGCTCGTGGGTTTCTCCAAAGTGGTAAACGTCTGCGACCTGCATCACTTCGGGCTTTCCTCCCACATTAAGCTGACACGCCGTGATATAACTAGAATACTGTTAAAAGCGGCGTTAAACCCAACCCACTCACTCACATCTTCCCGAGGCAAGGGAGATAACTGGCCCGGGAAGATGTACGACAGTGGCCTGTAAACAGACCAGGCAAACACATGTTCAACCATTTTTCGCAGTCCGCGGCACCAGAAGATCTCTGAATACCATGGTGTTAAAGGTTTAGATCAGTGTTTACACGGTATCTGTCCTGTCTATAAGAAACAAAGTCTTTATGATTTAAAAGTGCCATTAGAAAGGCAATATTTTATGTCAGAGCTTGTAATTAACAAAACTTCAGTCTAATATTGACCTTCATAAAACACACAGATATATACATATGTAAGCAACACATATCTTCAGTAATGTTTTCTTAAAGACAGACTCTGTACACCTCTCAGTCAAATGCGGAACATACAATAACACGACATTTGTGTAATAGCTGTCATTCTGTGTGTTATGAACTCATTTCTCCGATGTCAGGACATGGCCATGTACCTGTTACTTCTATAGGCTTTCTTTGTTTTGTGTGTTTGGTTGGTTGGTTGGTTATTTGAGGTCGCACACAGTAACGTACGTTTCCAGCGTTGATCTGTTAATATTCGAGTCAAACAAGTTATTCCTAACAGAAGGAAAGATCCACGCCGTCAAGGTACAAAGTTTCACAATCAACAAAGTCAGCGAGCCTGGCCACCCGATCCATTTAGTAACCCATGATATGTATAGAATACTGAGAATCTTTTCCAGTGGGTGAGTGAGTGGGTGGTCGAGTGAGGGAGTGAGCTAGATGAGTTTTACGCCGCCTTTAGCAATATATCTGCAATATCACGGCGCGATGCATCAGAAATTGGCTTCACACATTGTACCGATGTGGGGAATCGAAAACGGGCATTTGGCGTGACGAGCGAAAGGGATTACCCACGGACCCTTTCTAGGCCAGAATACCCTTGGGGAAAGCTAAATGAACAGTTTAACCATACTTCAGACAACACAGACTACATTGCAATTGAGGCCTGGATGGCACCGTGTCTTGTTGTTATTGAAGGCAGTACTCCCAGCTGAGGTCTCAATAGCACCTTATGCATGGTGGCGGTGGGGGTAGCCTAGTGGTTAAAGCATTCGTTTGTCACGCCGAACACCCGGGTTCGATTCCCAATTTCGGTACAATATGTGAACATAAGTCTGGTGTCCGCAGCTGTGATACTGCTGGAATATTGCTAAAAGCGGCATAAATCCATACCGACTTACTCACTCAGTCTGCTAGTGACGATGTGTGAGTCTTTATATGCACCATCTGTCGCTCACGTTGTGATGGTGTCCGCTTCAGGGCCGCGCATCGGAAGACATCAATCAACTCCTTCCGGAAACGACGAGATGACACACTGTAGATGAATGGGTTGATCGCATTACTCATGAGGGGGGATAACTTTGCAACATCTGCTACAGCCTTTATGGCAGGCGACAAAGTATAGCCATTACTGTCAATGAGAAACACTGTCACGGCAATGAAGAAAGGGAAGTAACTGCTGAAAAACGCAACTGTTACCGCGAAGAAAATTTTCGCTGACGTCTTCTGAGATCTCATGGTGCTCGGTTTAGAGCTGGTGGTGGACGGGCGCCTTGCACTCCCCAGAGATTCACGTCGAGCTAGATGCACCCTCAGAGCTCTGTACATCGACACATACAACATCGCCAATGTCGACATGACACCCATGAACACCAAGCCAAGGGTCGACATGAAGGACCAAAATAGGGGACCACTGCTTTTAGTAAAGTAGCACTGAGTGATGTTCATCTCCACCCCGTTGACTTCAAATAGTATATCTTTCCTCCCGTACACAAAGACGCAGGGGATCGAAAGCAAGATTCCGATGACAATGGCCATTAGACACAATCTGCGAGTCAGACTGAGGCTAATTTCTCTCTTCAAAGGTTTGCATATTTTACGATTTCTATCAAATGCAATGACAACAAGAATTATTCCCGATGCCATAGCTGTCATAATTGCAACAAAGGACGCTCCTTGACACAGTTGAGGGAAATCGTCACGGCTCTCGTCAAAGGTGATCACCAGAAACAGGGGAATGGTGATGCTTGCGTTGATGAGATCCAGGCATGCAAGCACCTCGATGAACAGGCTGAAGTTGGAACGCCTCCACCGGAAGTGGTAGATATATATGACAAGGCTGTTGCCAAATATGGCAAGGAAGAACATGAACAAAAGAAATAGTATCTCTCCACCGTGTTTTTTAAACATATATTCGGGTGTTCCAGTTGTACAGGGTGTCGTGTTCATGGGCGACATCGTGAGGTCGGTGTTCCCGTTGATCCAAGACATCGTTGATGATAAATTGAGCTCGGAGGGTGTCATATTGCCAAAGGTAATTCCTGTCTGCATTACGGTGTTGTGCACGGTTCCCCTGTTGCCTGAAACCAGAAATGCCTGTTCAAAATATGCTCAACAGTTTACCTGTAATTAAAGAGTAAATGTAGTTAAACCGACAGACAGACAGACAAACAGTCAGAAAGACAGGCAGACAGACAGACAGACAGACATACAGGCAGGCAGGCAGGCGGGAAGGTAGGGAGGCAGGCAGGCAGGTTGGCAGGCAGGCAGACAGGCAGACAGACAGGCAGGCAGACAGACAGACAGACAGACAGACAGACAGACAGACAGGCAGGCAGGCAGGCAGGCAGGCAGGCGGGCAGGCAGGCGGGCGGGCAGGCAGGCAGGCGGGAAGGTGAGAGGCAGGCAGGCAGGCAGGCAGGCAGGCAGGCGGGAAGGTGAGAGGCAGGCAGACAGGCAGGGAGACAGGCAGGCAGGCAGGCAGGCGGGAAGGCAGGGAGACAGGCAGGCAGGCGGGAAGGTAGGCAGGGAGACAGGCAGGCGGGAAGGCAGGGAGACAGGCAGGCAGGCAGGCAGGCAGGCAGGCAGGAAGGTAGGGAGACAGACAGACAGACAGACAGGCAGACAGGCAGGCAGGCGGGAGGTTAGGGAGGCAGGCAGGCGGGAAGGTAGGGAGGCAGGCAGACAGACAGAGAGCAATATCACGGCGGGGAAAAACCAGAAATGGGCTTCACACATTGAACCCATGTCGAGAATCGAACCCGGGTCTTCGACGTGACATACCAATGCTTTAACCACAAGGCTACCCGACCGCCCCTATCCTGCAGATAGGACCATTTGTGCTAAATCAGTGTTTTCTCATTTCTCATTGCAAAAGGTTCATTTAAACCTCCAATGTTATATATAGCAACTCTCTTAGTAGATTTCATGAGGTGGATAAATATTTCAGTTGTTAGATAATCTGTAGAATATGGATGTACTGGTATGTACTTCAGTTACATCACGACATGTCAGCTTTATGTCTGAAAGAGGCACTGGTGGCCCAGTCGTCTAAGGCTGCGCAATTCGCTGTGCAGTGTTGCGTCCCTTGGTCACGCCAGAAACCTATGCATGAATGAATATATTACATGTCTTGTTTACTTAATTACAATTTACAATGTGACACCAAAATGAACATTTTGAATTTTATTCAGGATGTATCACATTATTTCAAATTCGGTCCTTCTTTTAGACAATAGATAAAAATCCTTTATCCGGATATTTAATCTATTTTGGTAAATGTTTGTTTACATGATTCTTTAAAATGCATCCTCTGCGTTGAAATAATAACTGGAGCAATTCATGATCAGGACAGGAAGCTAATAAATAGAGGTTATCACGCGAGTGTGTTTTGGATGGTAAATATCATGCATTAGGAATAAAAATTGTATTTGACCTTTCATATTTTCAGCTTCATCCGTATATGACCGAAACGGATACAATTTCTATCCGTTGGTTTTATCCTACCGAGAACCTACCCATTATATGGTAAATTGAGTTATTACATTATATCGGTAACATTGAAAACTGACTGGCCCTGTATGCTGGTGATACTATGGTGATATTAGATTAGACTACCTCTAAAATTTATATGATAAGAAAAGATGCAATGATAATGCAAACTTCAATTTATTATAAAGATTAGTATCATAGATTAGATATTTTAATTTTAGCAAAGCAGGTAAACAGGTCTTGGGAAGCTTCTCTGATACGGATTGGAAAGTAATCCACGAAATATCCTTCCGATGTGCGGATAGACTATTGTGGTTCCAATTCGGACTAATTCTTTCCATACAACCAATTATAGCTTATCTCAGTCAAATAGGATGTGTAGACTCGCCTGTATATCGGATCAGATTCGGATTAAGAACGGCAGAATCGGGACGAATTCGGCTGGAAACGGCTAAATCGGGACGCTGCCTGAACAATATGTGATTGTTGTCGTCATTAAATACATGTTTTTACAAATTTGTGAATTTCCCGAATCACAGAGAAGATGAGACTTTTGACAAATTTTAATCGGGAATGGTCCTATCTAGGACGGCACTAAAAATCCTGAATGTGTGGCTGACCCCTCACATACTGATCTGTTCTACAAGTTGGGTGTCCTGTTCGTGGTGACCTGCAGACAAGGGCAGTCGTGTTCCCTCGTGTCACAGTGACTGTGATTCGAAAGTGATTTTGACACCAAGTGGTTTCATAAAAAAAATGATATCATTTCAACTTGCCCGGAAATGATATGTTATATTTTGATGATGGATTTAACGTCTTCCTGGAAGAATTGTTTGATGGGCATTACTTTGAAGTTGACGGATGACAAAGTAGAGGCGATGTATGGATCACAACTTCTGTATTTAATGTAAAGGCGACGTTTCGGTATAGATCCCTACACCGTTGTCAAACAAGCCTTGCGACTTCAACCAACACTCAAACAAAGCTTGGGGGCACGGGTGGCCCAGTCGTCTAAGGCGCCGCGATTCGCCTTGGGCACGCCAGAAACCTATGATTGTGGGTTCGAATCCCGATTCGCCCCGATTATGTTTCTAGGTTTGTCCGCACCATACCCGTGCTCGTGGGTTTCACCGAAGTGATAAACGTCTGCGACCTGCATCACTTCGGGCTTTCCTCCCGAATTAAGCTGACACGCCGTTATATAACTGGAATACTGTTAAAAGCGGCGTTAAACCCAACTCACTCACCACTCAGTCAAACAACTGACATAATGATCTATACCGAAACGTCGCCTTTACAGTAAATAAAGAAGTTGTTATCCATAAATTGTCTCTACTTTGTCTTGCGCTGAGTTATTCAAACTTTCTGTTTCGCAATCATTAATAATCTCTCTCAATCTCTCTCTACCTGATAGTAGTTGTAAATCTGAATTTTGTTTGTTTCTTAGTTTGTTGTTTGTTGCACTAAGCAATATTCCAGCAATATGGCGACGGTCGGTAAATACCTGAGTATGGACCACACAATCCAGTGATTGATATCATGAGCATCGATCTACGCAATTGGGATCAGATGACAAGCACCAACCAAGTCAGCGAGTCTGACCACCCAATCCCGTTAGTCGCAAACAAACATACATTTGTAGCATGGGTTGCTGAAGACCTATTCCCCGACCGGATCTTCACAGATTGTAGTCATGAGGTAAGTGATTGAGTGAATATTGTTTAAAGCCGCAGTCAGCAATATTCCAGCTTAATCACGGCGGCCTGCGGGGCTTATAACAGGCCTCTTGTAACCTATGCGTGTCATGTGATTTGGTCAGTCTCTTTGACCCTGTTTGATTGTGTATCGTCATACCCCGAATCAATCACTGGTTTGTCTGGTCCATATTCGATTATTTACAGGATGTCGTCATTAAGTTGTAATATTGCTTAGTGCGGCGTTAAAACCAACAAATATTATACACTAGCTAAAATCGTGCGTTGGTGATTTGAGGCACAGTGAGTAGGTGAATGCTGTGTAACACTCAGTCAGTAATAGTTAGGCTATACAACGGTTATCTGTAAGTACTCGAGCCTCGACCAAACCAATGACTGAAAGCGTGAGCATCGGTCCACGCCATTAATGTACAAACACAGATCAGGACGACAAACACTGACTGAAAAAACATTAATGTTATTCTAGGTACGATGGTACGCAATTTGCCAAGTCAGCCTAATCAGCTTGTCCAACTTCGGTTCTCGCGCCTAGCAACATAATTGTGAGAAACTGTTCTTGACCGTATCGCCACCAGTCTTATAAAGGTCTCGACATCCTCGAAGATCCGGGTTAGAATAGATCTCCAGCAACCCAAGCTTGCCGTAAAAGGCGACTATGCTTGTCGTAAGAGGCGACTAACGGGATCGGGTTGACCAGACAATCCAGTTATTGATATCATGAGCATCTATCCACACACTTGGGACACGATGACATGCATCAACCAAGTTAGCCTGACCACCCTATCCCGTTAGTCGCCTCTTGCAAGCATGGGTTCCTAAAGACCAATTCTAACCCGGATCTACTCTGGTTATTATTTCCAAAGAAACATGTGTCGGGGCAGCTTACCCAACATTCCATGTACGACGTCAGATAACTTGTTGCAGAACAAAAACTTTATTTCTTTTTTTTCAAATCTTGCACTTACTGGCCCGGATTTCTTTCAAAATCCGTCAAACAAGAAATATAAAAAATTCCAAATCGGGAATAAGAAGACAAAAAAACACTCACATTTATATTATACATTGATACTGCATGTACATTTCTAAGTCATTATGCAATATATATTTGAATAAATATTAAATTGAAATTTCAGTTGTAAAGACTGTACGTTCTATAATAACCGACACACAAGGACATAGATTATATAGGACTCGCTTTAACACGCTGGATTGTCAGTTTTGAAGTTACAGACATGTTCAGGTCAGTGACAATGAGATGCTTTTCCTTATTACACTTTCACGTTCTGGACTTTTGACACGATGAACACAAGTATAGCTTAAATGAGAACTAGGAAAGAAAATACTTTTTTAAGGTTCAAGAGTAAATCTAACTGCAAGTACTGTGTACGAGCCAGCCGGTTACCCAAGACGATCTGTTTGCTTCATGTTACCACACTATCGTTACATACGTCTTGCCCATGTTGAAACATTTTTAAAAGTCTACATGAAAATCTAAGATCAACCTTTTTGACACATTTTGCCTTACCTATAGATAATTTTGTGTTGCATGTTTTGAAAAGACTAGTTATTCTAATTCTCATTCCTATAAACACATCTGATATCAAAACGTTTATTAAAACTTGGTTATTTCTTATATACTGATGGAAATTAATAAGGGAACATTTAGTTTTAGAGACAGTAAATTGATATGCCATCATGGGCTCCCAGCCTTGTCTACCAAATACACATTGGAAACAATGCACACATCTCAACATTTGATTCTGACGTGTTGAATTTGTATGCACACTATTTCAAATGTACTGACAGTAAAGCTTATTTCCCTATATATTTCAGTGTTCCCTTATTTCTTTCCATCAGTATATTAAGAAAACCCTACGGGCCGAAAAAGCCCTTATATCCTTATTGCAATAAACTGCATAATCTGACAACGTAATTCTCGATTTGTCAGCTGTTAACACAACCTATATGAATTCCGCCCTCCATGTAGCCATGCTGTCGGAGCTACTATAATCCAATGTGACAAGGAACGTGATGCTTTTGTTTAAGCTTCTGCTCATCATATACTCATCCCACGAGATCAGGGTCGAGGGTTTACAGTTAACAGGAATACCAGCACAATAGAATTTTGCTTATGTTCAAATATAACTTGAATTCTAACAACGTGAAAGTAAACTCAGAATATGACTACATTTATATACTTACAGTGTAGCGACTTGTTTGCAGGGACGGACACATCTGTTGTGTGGGGCACGGCCTCGTGAAAACCGGATCATGCTGATGAGGCTTTGTAAACGGATGTATGTGTAGTTTAGATAACACAGTTCCTGGTATCAACTATAATGTCTTCCTTTGCATCCTCCCTTTGTTTTAGCCAATACCCTCTCGATATTCACTGCTTGTTCAATTAGTGTACACTGGCTGTCATCTTGTCTTTTTTTCTTTTGGGGGCACGGGATCGAGGTCTAATGGGGAGGCGGGTCGTTTGCAGAGATGCGTTCCTTACTCGTGCCTGAATCCGAATATCGATTGTTGGGATCCCAGATTATGATTATTATTCTTTGTTACCTCACTCACCTCACTCACTCACTCACTCACTCACTCACTCACACATGCATTTCCGCTTTCAGTGAAAAGGAAGCCTTGCACAAGATCGTTGACGCCGGTTTAGACAGATATATATGTATGTAGGACCCTATTGTCTACAAAACTGGAATATTGCCAAAGGGCGTGAACCCAAACACACACACTCACTTTTAAAATTTTACAGCCACATTTCGGGAGAGTACACTGACGTTCACACTTTGTTCACGGGGATTCGAACCCGAGGCTTCGGCGTGATGAGTCAACGCTCTGACCACCGCAAATTTAAATCGCGATGGTTTTTAGGTGTCTTAGTGGTTAAAGCATTGGCTCCAATTCCTTACATGTTAAAAAGTGTAACTTCAATAATTGGTGGCTTCTAATACATGTATGCAGAAACTATTGCTATACCACACTCATCCCTTTTAATAATAGTTTGTATATAATTTAATAATATGCAAGATAATATCATGAATATATATATATGAAATTAGTACGATGAATGAAAAAAACCTCGAATTGTTCAGTTGTAGCGTGTGAAGATACCGGAAGAAGCGCTCGTAAAATATTCCTCCCCAGTGCTTAATACAAGATAAATACAATAATTGTGAGAATTGGTCTTTGGAAACGCTCAAAAATAAGCAATTGCGCCAAGGTTATCACACGTGCAAACAAGTTACGATTTAACAGATTCCGTAAGAGAAGTAAGTATGATTGTCTCTCAAGGATTAACACCCGTCTTCGACACGATATCAAGGCTAAAATGGGTTGTCTCCCTTCACCTGTTTCCTTCTCGAAATGGACAAAACCAGCATTTTCAAACACAACATATTCACACAGAACTGCATATTCGAACGAGTTCCTTAAATACTTATTCAGATGTTTCCTTTTATTTCATTCGAATTAAATTTTATATTCAATAGATTGATTTTCTATAATACATGTAATAAAAAACATTCTAAAAAGAAATATGTATAGTATAAAATTGCGTTTGCAATTCTGACAAGCGATTATACATCTGTGACGTCATCCAAATTGTTTCAAAGAGCCTTTTTGGTGGGTGGGTGAGGGGCGGGGGGGGATTAACCTTTCTACAGAATATCCCGTTGTCTCATCAATGTTCCATAGAAACATGCCTGGTCTTCCAGAGAGTAATACCTGTAGAGAATGTTTGAAATATTTCGATTGAGTGAGTATGGTTCTACGCCGCTTTAAGCAAAATACCACGGCGGAGGACACCAAAAATAGACTTCAGACATTGTACCCATGTGGGGGATCGAACCCGTGTCTTCGACGCTGACCTGTTTTGAGATATAATTCGCTATTGAACACAGTCTACTTAACACACATTACAATTCTAGCTCGGGCTGAAGGGTGTAATATCAAACAATAAATGTTACCTCGTGAGTAATGAGTACTGACACTTATAGAGAGAGAATATAACATCTCATGCTGCTATACTGAAGAGTGTGATCGAGATCAGTATTAAATTTACATCAGGGCATTCGATTGAACACAGAAAAAAATATGTGAAACCGACGAACCCGGGTACAACGACACCTCGTTAATCCGGACTATATCCTTCCAAGTTTAACTGTTCCGGATTAACGATTTCTTTGATTTTAATTGAATTATTTACTTTTTTTCCATTTCAGGGGGTGTTGACGATGATGAATCACTGCGCTTATGGGGTTTTTTCAAATACGTCAGATTGAATATATTACGTCCGTTTCATGGGAAGTGTGTTTTAAATACATAATAATATACATTGAATGATGATGTTGAGGACATGCGCGATTCGCTTCTTACGACAAGAAAATAATTATCAAACAGAATCTTTTCTTGATATATACAATCTTGATGTTAAATGTAGCTAAGTCAACGTATTTTTCACAGATTTGTTTGGGTGCGCGTTAGAGAATGATACCTCGATATGGGGGTGTTTGTGTATTCCGGGTTCCTCATACACGTGCCTATGCTCGCTTGGCTCGTCCACGAATAATCCAGGAATAAGAACCAACAATTGGAAAGATAGCATTTTTGTTTAAAAATATTGTAATTCCATGTTTAGTCAGGTTTTTTATACTTATACTGTTTATTTTGGTAAATGTAGACCAACGGTCCATGTTTACATTCGATTACGTGACGTATAGAATACATACAACATATTTATATAAAAGAGTTCACAAGATGGAAGAAGAATATCCTCAGAACTATTTTACGTAGGAGAAGGATGAAAGTGTGGCTTTTTTATCTCGTGAGTGGATCCAGCTGCAGCCGAGTTAATATGTCAAGGAAGATAATTTGTTATAGATTTTCCGATTAAAATTGTGTGTTAACTTTTGGAGATGATAACTGTTGAATTAATTCCAGTTATATTTTATTTCATCTTGGAGTACAAATTCCAGTTATATGCTACTTTGGCCAACATCAGCACATCATAGATCATGCCATGCCAGGGTACCTAGCGACGTGCATGTATTACATTTTAGTTGGGCCAATTACATTTTTCTTTAGATTTAGATGTATTTAAACAAAATAATTCATTGTCGTACCAGCTCTTTCAGTATGACGGGACAATGGCTAAAAACAATGATAATATTTGTACCGTAAATGCGTATAGTTTTACGCCGTATTGTTTATTGTTTTTAAACAGCAAAGTCCCAGTGCGGTAACCCGGAAAGCGATTGTCCATGTGGGGAATCGAAAACACGCCGAACGCTGTAGCCATCATACTACTCCACCGCTATTTGAACATTTGAAGATTACACGACTGGTGATGCATTGTCCACACGTTACTATTCAATCTGCTACATATGTTGTATTGTTCAGATGGTACGCATCCAATAGCAATAGTAGGAGCCATGCGTAAGACCAGCGTATACTTTCCATGCACTTCCTTATTTGTTAAACCTTAAAACATCCATGATCACTTAGTCTTCTTTATAGGTCTTCAGCAACCCATGCTTGCCGTAAGAGGTGACTATGCTTGTCGTAAAAGGCGACTAACGGGATTGGGTGGTCAGGCTCTCTGACTTGGTTGATGCATGTCATCGTATCCCAATTGCGTGGATGTCATGATGTCAATCACTGTATTTCTGGTCCAGACTCGATTATTTACAGACCGCCGTCATATAGCTGTAATATTGCTGAGTGCGGCGTTAAACAACAAACAAACAAACAAATCATGGTGACCAACCATTTGATATTCAGCGTGTGGAGGTTCTTATGGTGTCGCGGTGTCGGGGGGTGGGGAGTGAGGGTTGTCAGAAAGAATATTTCTTCATGGAAAAAAAAAATTCTTTTAAAAAATTTCCGACCCCCCATGCATGACCTGTCCCTCAGCAAAATGGTATCACATGTAACCAAGTCGTCTAAGTCGATGCAAGTCACGTTGCAGAGTTGTTCCCCCGGGGATGCTGATTTCCTATTCGTCCGAGATATTACCTTTTTCATCGATGTAAACAATGAAACAAGAAATGGCCCTCGCTTGCATTGCTATAGCATATGGTAACATCAGCTCCGAGGGGGCATGTGTCGCTGTGTCGAGCTGTGTACCCAAGGTGTATCAGAGACCTATGTTGGTGGGTTTGAACCCATGATTCGCCCTGATTATGTTTCTTGGTTTGTCTTTATCATACCTGTGACCGTGGGTTTGAACCCATGATTCGCCGTGATTATGTTTCTTGGTTTGTCTATACCATACCTGTGACCGTGGGTTTGAACCCATGATTCGCCGTGATTATGTTTCTTAGTTTGTCTTTATCATACCTGTGGCCATGGGTTTGAACCCATGATTCGCCCTGATTATGTTTCTTGGTTTGTCTATATCATACTTGTGACCGTAGGTTTGAACCCATGATTCGCCGTGATTATGTTTCTTGGTTTGTCTTTATCATACCTGTGACCATGGATTTGAACCCATGATTCGCCGTAATTATGTTTCTTGGTTTGTCTATATCATATCTGTGAACGTGGGTTTCATTCGGACACTGAACTTGTCCGTATTAACACATTTTCGGATTAACAAATATCATGGCCATGGAGTGAAGTCACTTTGTGAAAGAGAGAGATATAGAGGGAGAGATAGAAATCTTCTAACGCGAAATATATGAATATATGTGATACAAAGAGAAATTTACAAGGAGATTATCATCATCAGTTTGTATTAGGATCAAAACGTTATATTAAGAGGGCCTAACTACAAAGTACTGGGGGAAAAAATCATTCGTATATTACTGTATTCCGGGTAAAACATTAGACGTGATATCACCATCTGTAACATGGTTGTAGTTTAAGCATGTGGTATTTCCTGTTTCGGGAGTTTGGGAAAAGCTGGCAGCTCTGACATGCAAATCATGACAATTACACCAAATATTGTTAATACTCGGGTACGTTTGATGCTTTTATTGCAACCAGATATTTCTCTGGCGTGATTTGAACCTTGAAATCTGATTAGTAATTGAAGGATTTCGACTCTCTGATATCGTTGAAGCACTCTTGTTGGTACATGTTTTCATATCTTTGTTCAAACAGCAACTAGGATAGGTATTTATTTCCGACATCGTGGGAAAGCTAGACATATCAGTGCAATTGAAATACTGTTCAAAGCGCCGTTAAACCCGACTTACTCACTCACTCACTCACTCACTCAGTGTATCGTGGTTCCAGTATATTTGTTTTTGATACCAATGATGCACGACTCTCTGTTAAATATATCTGCAAATGTATCTTCAAGTCTTTATTGCATGTATTACTGCAATATTTTTAGGTGACCGAATGTTGTTTTTAAGCTTTTGTTTAGCTTAACCTGTTTTGTTCCGGAAAACGAACCTCAACCCCTGTAAAATATGTTGCGGAAAATTCAGTGTAAAATGCCTCAAAGCATTGAGAAATTATTCAGACTTGAATAGGAAAAATGATAGTTGACAGCATGAATATCAGTGTCATGGAATTAAAGAGATCACGCATATTAATCACCGGATCCTCTGATGTTTCATTGGTACTGGTAACTGGTTCCTTGG